CCCCGTTTGAAGACATCTGCCGGGCGGCTACCTGGGCCACTCCAACCTCGTTCATCCGGCATTATCGTCTGGATGATTTTGCATCGGCGGACGCGTCTTTCGGTCGTAGGGTCCTACAGGGGGTGGCGGCTGAGGCTCCCCTTGGGCCCTAGAGTTTCTGTTCTCCCTCCCTGGGACTTTAGCTTGGGTATGTCCCACGTGTGACCATTCCCTCCTCCCACTCTGGAAAAAGGACGTTGGTCTTACCTGAACGTCTATTTTCTGATGGGAGGAGGGAATGGTCACAACCCGCCCTGAGTTTTGTCAGTTGGGGCCAAGGGGAGGGCCCGGGGATGTGTTTCTTTTAATGTTGTACGCCGCCCTGAGTCCTTGGGAGAAGGGCGGCATATAAATTGAATAAACCTCAACCTCAACCTCTCGGTTCTTTTGGGATAGTTCCAGAGACTCGCAGAGCTGGAGGCACCCCAGAGGTCATCTAGTCCGACCCCTGCCCAAGCAGGAGCGATTTGCCGGCTTTTCCAGAGGACCATCCCCCTAGGAGCCCCCTCCTTGTGGAAGGGGCTGAGGATCCAGGGGAGAAAAGGCTCCTGAGAACTGTTAAAATTCAGCTTCTCAACAGCAGAGATCCAAGCCCCACTTCCTTGCCCAGAAGGTCTTTTCCCAAACCGTTGGCCCTTGGCCATTTTGGGGGGGGGGGGGGGCAGCAGGAAACCTCACCACCAGGTGAAGCACTGAGAGGTCCTCACCTATCCCACATTTTCTAAAACAAAATTTCCTGTAGGCCATCGAAGCCTTAATTACAATAAAGGTGACAGAGGAGGTTTTCATTACCACTTTAGTTTTAACATCCAAATTGGGTGGCAGATACCTTGGTGGATGTCTGTAAAATGCTGGATGCCAAAACACATCTTAAAGGCAGGTAAATTGTAGGTTGAATGTAGGCAACTAAAGCAAGCTCAGCTATTCATCAACCTCTCTTCTGATAAAAATTGGGGGGGGGATCTGGGAGTAGCAAGGTTTTTATCATTTGTATTTTAATTAATCAGTCACATTTTTTCATTCCTCTAGTTCCTTTAGGAGAGGAACATTATTTGCTTATCTTTTTTATGTACTTTAAATTATAATTTATCTTGGCTATTCAACAATTGTCCTAAAGTATCATTCAGATAAGCGGAACTGGAGGACAAAGACATTTAGAGTACTATATTCTGTTCTGGATATTGTCTCCCAAAACCCAAATAAAACGTTAATGCTATTTATATTCTAGCTGCCAATCATCACTTGGCAAGCAACTTCCTGAGATGATTAAATCTCCATGAAAAATCTCTGAAAAGAAAATACTTCATGGGCCACACTAATTAATCTTAATTAGGGTGACCAGACGTCCCGCATTTGGCGGGACAGGCATGCCTTCTCATAATTTTTCCCGTGTGCGCTGCCGCTCGCATGGGCGGGGTAGTGTAGCAAGTGAGCAGGCGGGTGGGCGGGGGAGCAAGCTCGCCTTTCCAGCCCCACTTCCGGACAAGCTGTGGGAAAGCCTCCGCAAAAAGAGCCACCTGGGGCCGCTGCTTCTTCTCCGAACCCAGAGTAAGTGACGGGTGGGGCGAGTGAGCGGGGGGATGGTGGTAGGATCGCCGCCCACTGCACTGCAGCTCACTCGCCCCACCCGTCACTTACTCTGGGTTCGGAGAAGAAGCAGCGGCCCCAGGTGGCTCTTTTTGCGGAGGCTTTCCCACAGCTTGTCCGGAAGTGGGGCTG